TATATATATAGGCCTATGTATGAAGATGAACAGAATACTAGAATACTACATTTCAAATGACACGCTAAAATATAATGCTAGAATTCTAGCAACATGCCATAATCTTATTCAGAAACACAACCTTGCAGTCAATGTTAAAAAATAATCCAATCTTGTTTGATAGTTAGTGAGTGTGTAAACTTTTTAATCTTTGACAGGTGTATTTAAGAGAGGAGGTGAGGCAGTGGCGTAGACAGGTGAGAACGGGCCCAAGTTGAAGATTAATTACCTAAACTTTTTAGTGCTTTGTGTCTTTTTACCTCTAATGGCCCAGGCTAGTAATAAATACTAATGATAATCGGAGTCTCCGTAAATAGTTCAAGAGGGGCCTATGCAGCTAGTTGTAAACTAATCAAGAAAGTTGTTGGGACGTAAAATTACACAATTGAAATTTTTAAAAAGTAATCAATAATTACTCCTCTATACGCCTAAATATGATTGAGGGCCAGTTGATCATTTATTTCTTGAAAGACATTAGGCCCAGGTTGTAAATTATTTTTATTTATCCTATTATTTTTTAGGCCTATTTATGAATGGGGCCCTAATAGCCCTGGGTTCGAGTGCCTTGCACTGGCTCCATTATCCATCCGTACGTCATTGGGTGGGGGCACTGAAGCTAGTAAAATGCAAATTCTAAGGCCGCACCTTGCATTCCTGTGCACGGCTGTGAGCTCCCATTGACTTATTCCAGGGGCTCAGGACCTTAAGGGCCCTGCGATGTTATTCATTTTTTACAAGACTAGGCCAGGAGCAGAAAGTGTAAGAAACATCAAAATACGCCATTATATTCAATATTTTATCTGTGATTATAATAATGCTTATTGTTACAATTTTTCATTTCATATCATAACCCTAATGTACCTGCAGTCATAATTAATGCATTCAGCTCATATATATAGGATTACGTAGGCTTTTTTTTTTTTTGCTTACACTAAAAACTACCGAAAAACTTTACGGTATGTACTTCTACATTGAAATCTGTCCTATTGTCTAGCAATAGTCAGTCAAATCTTTGAAACAATTTTTTTTTTAGCAATAGATGTTTCATAGCAGCAGGAACCATGTATTTCCGTGAAATTACACAGTATTGGCAAGCAAGCAGTCATGTAATGTAACGTGGGCCCGAGGCCAGAATTAAAAAAAAGGTAGTCAGTATCTTTTTTAAAATGGAGTAGTATGGAGCTGTAGTGACTTGCCGGTTAAAATGCTTGCTTTATAATCCCAGAAGTTTAAAGACGTATAGTCACATAAAAATAAAAAAAAAAAATCATATTTGAAATTAACTTGCTCATTTTGATGTAAATGATCAACTTGATCATTGAAATTTGTGTATTTGAAAAATGTTTACCCATTATTTTGACAGCGCAAATCGATAGAAACACTCTTACTTTATTATTTTTACCATTATAAGTATAAAAATCAGGTTACACATTTTAAAATCCAATATTATCTATACTCAATTTAATAATTTGTATTTTACAGCAAAATGTGAAAATACTTGGTTTGAATGTAATTGGTGGCCACTCCAATGCATTTTTGGTTTATCAGGCTTAATTATAATAATAATACTGTAGTAATAATAATAATAATGATAATAATAAAAATAATAATAATAATAATAATAATAATAATAATAATAATAATAATAATAATAATAATAATAATAATAATAATAATAATAATAATAATAATAATAATAATAGTGTTTATTATTGTCGTGATGGAATAATAGACAATAACTGGATTTGCGTCAGGAGAATTATGTATAGGTGTAATTTTTGGCCTATACCTGACGTGGAAATGTACCGAATACTCAGTACAGTTGAAAACAACTGCGAAAAAAATCGGAATAATAATAATAATAATAATAATAATAATAATAATAATAATAATAATAATAATAATAATAATAATAATAATATAATAATAATAATAAAAATAATAATAATAATAATAATATAATAATAAAAATAATAATAATATGATGATGATGATGATGAGGATGATGATGATGGTGGTTGTAATGATGATGATGATGATGATGATAATACGTATGCGTGCATGCTGTTGGACGGTGTCCGTAGCCCCTAGCCGTACTTGCCGCCTGAGCGACATATTCGCTATCGATCCTCGCCGAAGACTTCGCTTCCCATGCTTGGTTACCATTCACAACAAAGTCAGCAGTTTTCCGATTAATTAATCGTATTTGTTACTGGACTTGTGAACTTCCGTATCTATCTCTCAAAATAATACTTGCCAACTTGTCCCTCGAATTAAGTATCCATGGTATGCCATTTTAAGTGTCTCTGTAATAAACAATTGGCCGCTAAGAAGAGGGTGCACTATTATTATTTTTGTATCTTATCCAACGTACCAGGGATTTTTAACTGTAACGTTTAGTACAGTGTCGAAAGAAATAATTGATATAACATATAAAAGAAATGACAGCAGCACTTTTGAGACTAACAATATATAATTTATTCTCTAGCTTATTTCCACATAGTGGACTTCGTCAGGAGACTGTGTTTTTTATTTTTTATATTTAGGAATACAAAACCTATTTTGTTAGGTTAAGTCATGTATGTTCCTTATGTTGTTGCTAGTTAAGTCACACTTAATACAGATGTTTATTTATTTTAACTCTGCTAACTCATAGGCCTATTGTATTCTGTTTTGATTTGCTTTTGTGAACGCACCAACTCTTATTGAGTGCCATCGTTTCGAAGGTGTATGTACGAATAAATAAATAAATATAAATAATTGTTATTATATCATGACCAGGATATAACATTGTATCCAGTTACTTAATACCATGTTTTTTATGTGGTCATGGTAAAACATAAACCAAATGGGTTACTGTTTGCGGTTTATCTAGGACCATAAATCAATAACAATTTCAAATTATTATTTATATAGGCCTACTGAAATTTAAAATAACAACCTTGACTAAGCTTCCATTATAACAACGACTCATGAAAATAAATACAAGATGCGAGTAAAAATGCCAATCAAAAATAGCAATAGTTTCCTTTTGTAGAGAGCCACTTATCTCTTTCGGGGCGCCCCTGGATCACATATGAATAGCTGGACGGCCCCTGTGTTCGCCCATACAGGAACATGGTAATATTGCTTATATTGAACAATAGAATATTGCTTTATTTTAATAGATGAGGGAGGGACTGTTTTAGAATATTGTAAATATTTTATAAAAACTGGTTTACTTTTATTGTTTTGTAAAGAAAATGTATTTCCGGTCACAAAATTGCATTGGTTTTTTTTATGCTCATGAAATAAATGATACGGCAAAAAAAAAAAATAAAAAAAAAAATTACTTTATTCTCTCATCAATATTTCTCAAATTGTTGACGCGGGCGGGAGTGATAATCTAATAGTTTTTTCTATGTGCCCTTATAGCTGAACGCTATGGTGCCCCTGACTTAACCGCTAAGACAATCAACTCGCCCTCAAAAAAGGGGTACTAGCTGTTGTTGTAGTATACTAACATTTAATAACATACAAGAAACTCACGGTTATTTACAGACGTACATCCCATAAAGCGGTAAGATTACATAGGCCTACCGTAGGTAAACATATAGAAAGAACAATAATAGTAATAGTCGAGCGTCACGACATTGCGAATTGCCTGCTCTTGTCCCTAATAATTTAAAATCAGTATCGCATCTCAAGTCGGGTCAATCCGAGACGGCCCGAGTGGAGGTTCATGCAAATGTTTCGTTCGTACGGAAAAATATTCGTGTCCCGTACACATTATTTTTTCCCATAGACATTATAGAGGGCGCTATTTTTAAATAGGTCATTTAGGAGAACTGATAACATGAATAATATGCATGTATGACCCCCCCCCCCCCCCCACCCCTCGCGAGTCGCCAAAGTAGTGTTCGCTGCTTGTGGAATATGAAATGTACGGCGAACAGTAGTAGAGTAGGCAAAATCTCTTAATAGTTGGTCGAGACAATGAGTCGACACAGTGAAAGTTATTGGACTATAATTGTATATCCCTATACCACTGTTTACGTACAGCATGGTCTTCGACATTAAAAGCAGCTTTGAATCTGGTCGGTTATTTGAGTAGTACAGTAGTGTAAAGCATAGCATACATAATAACTGCGATATCTCATTCTGAAGGATGTTAAACGTATAGAAATTCTTGGACACATGTTTGAGACAATTCTATGTATTGTTTTTATGTTGATTTCTCACAAACATTTCGTTCATATTCAATATGAGTAAAAGTAATAGGCACAGATTTATATAGCAAGCAGATATACTTAAACATAAATTGACCAAATCCAACGACATTCTATACACATCATATGACGTACCGTTTATTAAATGTTGTCTACCCAATTAAACAAATTAAATAGCTTATTTAAAAAGATTAAAATCAGATGAAATTAAAAAATAGCTTTCACTGATTTACAGGCGGTTCTACAAAAAATCATTACCTGTAAATGTTACCAGCCAATAAATCATGCAAAAGAATGCAGCTTCAATTTGAAGATTCAATTTGAATATATTTGGTATCATACGAAAGCCAGTAAAATTATCTATTTAATGATGTGTATGATGACACATTATAATAATTTTGTGACCACAACATTGCCTAAAACCATATTTTTTAATGACTTTTTTGGCAAAATTAAATAATACATGTTTTAATAAATAAATACGATGTCTGAATTGTTTTTATAGGTGTTTTATTTTGTATATGGTTAGTTTTTGAGAAAGTATCATACGAAAAGGTTGTTAGCTTAGTATTTTTCGTATATATTTAATAAAACATGTATTATACAATTTGCTGTTTTTTGGTCAAATTTGGCACTTAAATCCAAATTGCAGTGTGGCAACGTTCCTGTCCTAGAGCTGGTGGTGAGGATTCACCTTGTTGCCAGCTTATGCCTACGATTTTTTTTGAGCACTTTCAATCTTACGGCCACCCGTCTAATTAGTGTATTTAAAAAATATTTACCCATAATGTTAGAGTGAAAAAAAGGTAGAAACACTTCCATAGACTGGAAATGTTTTTATTTTTTTAATCATTATCTAGTATACAAATCAGGGTAGACATTTTTAAACTTAAAATATTTTCTATACTCAAGTTAATAATTTGTATGCTACTGCAAAATGAGCGAGTTAGTTCCAAAATTACTTTTATGATTCTTTTTGTCATTTTCAAGGGCAATACATCTGTAAAGATATTCACTGTGTTTAAATCAGTGACTTTAAATAAGAACAGTAACACACATATTTTATATAATATCAACCTATGAACCGATACATGACGTCGGGCAAGAAGATTTCTGTTGTAACTAAGCTTTATTCAACCATCGCCGTAGACAAGGCATTTCCTCAATATTTCTATTAAATTTTCAAGTTTCAATTTGTGAAAAACTATTTAAATGGTGGTTTTCGTAATGTTCAATAATATAAAGCTCATTTCGCTGAATTACCGGTATAGAGGCCTTTATCGATAACGTGGTCAGGATTAGACTTCATGATTTATATCTGATCTCATTTATCTAGTAAACAATAACAATGATGATAATTATAAGGATGTATTAATAATGATATGAAACATAAAGATATTGATAATGATAAACATTCCGTGTTCTCCATGCACTATAAACGGTATTAAAACTGAATGACAATGGCAAGGCCTACTATAAGTGTCATTTTATGTTTCCAGTTTTCAAAAATATAATTCATAATCATGGTTAACTCATAATTAATTGTAATTATCAATTAAATGTCATTGGGATGATCTTCACATCATTAGCTTGTGCATACTGGCGGACGGTATCGGAAACACTTGCATCTTCTCCAATGGCTAGGACAGCTTTTCCGTATCCCCTAGCCGTACTTGCCGCCTGAAAGACATGTTCTTTATCGATCCTCGCAGAAGACTTCGCTTCCCATACTTGGTTACCATTCACAACAAAGTCAGCAGTTCGCCCATTACCCAATTTTACCTGTTCCTGGACTTGTGAACTTCCGTATTTGTTTCTCAAGTACTGGCCAACTCGTGCCTCAAATTCGTGTCCATGCTGTGCCATTTTGAGTATCTCTGAAATATGCAATTGGGCCGCTAAGAAGAGGATGCACTATGCTTATATTTGTATCTTATCCAACGTACCAATGGCTTTAAACTACAACGTACAGTAATGTGTCGCAACATAATAATTTAAATAAGATTCCACAAGTTTACTACAACCCCAATAGATAATTAAATGAATTTTTTGCACACACAAAAAAACAAACAAATACAAATAACTACATGGGCACGAAACTGACAAAAGTTTTACAATTATTAGTACAGAAATTAAATGTTTAGTAAAATTTCAAGACAAAGCCCTTGATAATTGTGCGCTACTTCCATTAATTTAGGACGCAATAAAACACATCATTTTGCTGAATGTACCAAATATTTGGTGAAACGTTGGAGGTATAGTCAATCAATACACACCTTTGAAGTCTTTCTCTTGAAAGCTATGAGCAAAAACGATCGTTGATGTTAACTTAAATAAACGGACTAAAACTTACAGTAAAATTAATTTCAAATATAATTTAAATGGACATCACAGCAATAATATTAAAAAAAAAATTATATTCTGTTTATCTGTTCATTTTAATTGTATGCAAAGAAAAGAAAAACAGGCATTAACATGTTATTTTGAATACCATTTAGTTTTTATTTTAATTTTGCTAAATTTTTATTTCTACTGACAAAAAAAAAACTTACTTTCTATTTAGTTCTGAACTTCAATATTCTTTACTCTGTATTTCTTGGAAAAAATCAATCTGCGTACCGTTTCAAGATGTTTGTTGGCCAAATGTATAATCTGCTTTTTCCTTACGATGCTTGTGTTAAAAATTAAAGCGCTCAAGTAAGTCCTCTCATAAGAATAATTGCAATAAGTCATTGCCATCACGTGACCTGAATTATTAAGTGGGGAATTTCCAATATGATGTTTAATGTATCAGTTTCCTGCACATAAAGGCATTGCAACATTGTAGAGGTTATGCGTGTTGAGATTTTTTTTATATATTTTGTGTATTTCCACCAACAGCGAAGAAAAATGTAAAATGCAGTATATATAGTATATATATATATATATATATATACTGTATATATATACAGTATATATATATATATATATAATGCAGTATATATATATATATATATTTATATACTGTTCACAAATTCACGGACACGGACGGTGCTGTCTCGTAAGAATTTTGTAGGACGCGTTAAGAGTGTCAAAATATTCTCTGTATCTACTGGAACTGAGCCGCATAGCTTGTATTCCACTATTTGCATTCACACCTGGGCTGTGTATATATATTGCCTTGGTTTGGCT